GTCTGTCACAGCCAAAAAATACACTCCAGACACGCCGCTGGCACTAGAGGCACAGCATGGCCGCCTAGTAACGGCCCCGACCACTGCCGCTCGACCTGACCGGAAAAAACCGTAGCAGGAAGCTAGCGAAGTCGTAGCATATATCGTCACAAACAGAACTGCCCGGTAAACCGTAGGCAGAGAGAGAGAAGAGGACAACAAACGAGGGGCTGTGACAAACTGTTTGCCATCGCCAAGATCGTCGGCATCCTGCCTGCAGAGTTTCAATTGAAGCAGTCTACACACAGACACAAAAAAGAAAGAAAGAAAGAAAGAAAGAGAAGCAGTCTACACACCCGGTTGCTGAAGAGACAACGATCGTCGGGACGAGGAGGAGGAGGAGGAGGAGGAGCGGTAGGAGGAAGAGAGGGAAGCACTCGCAGGTTCTCGTTCTTCAGCCCCATTCCGAAGAAAGAAGATCCGAGAAACCCGGTCGACCTTGCCGTCGACAGGCTTCTCGCGCCACGTGGGACAATCAGGCACTAAGGCCGACGGTACACTCCGAGAGACTATACACCGTTCCTGCCCAGACTGTCGAGGTCGGGACGGAACGTCTTCCGCTCTCCCTAGGTCGGCTATGCCTGTCGCCCTGAGATCGAGGGCTCGCCGTCCGATCACATCAGAGCCAGCCAACCGTGCGACAGCCATCGTCGATTCCTTGCCTCGACCGACTCTACCACCCCCCCTCCCGGGCGCTGCAGCACCACCTTCCTTTGCCGCTGCGATCCCCGTCCAATCTCTCTCCCCCTGCCGCTTACGGGCACAGGAAGCTCGAGCAATGGGACGAGGCCGGGGACCTCACAATTCAACCCGGGGTTATCCTTGGCAGCATCAGCCAGTTCAGCTTACGAGCACTGCTGGACTCCAACTCACTGATTAACCTTATCATAAGCCAGCTGGAAACCGGGTCCAGCGTCCCATGCTAAATAAAACTTCCCAAAATTAAACTTTGATGCGCATGTAAAAGGGGCTCTCCAAGCCTTTGCTCATCGAGACGACCAAAGTCATCTGAGCTGTCTGGGAGCTTTACCCAGCTTCGCTTAAAGATCTTACAGAAGCGACTCATCCTACACATAGCCTACCCACCAAGGGGTGGACTGCCAATCCTGCCCAAGTCCCAGCTGGTGACTTTGTTGTGTCCTACCGACCTTACTGGGCTAACCTTGCTGGGCCTACAGCGGCTCTGGTGACTGACGGATGGACAAGTCCCAGCTGGTAACCTTACTGGGCCAACCTTGCTGGGCCTACAGCGGCCCTAAGCCTTGCTGGCCCTACAGCGGCCCTAAAGCCACCAAGGGCTTACAGGGCTAACCAAGTGGTGACTGCCAATCCTGCCCAAGTCCCAGCTGGTGACTTTGTTGTGTCCTACTGACGTTACTGGGCTAACCTTGCTGGGCCTACAGCGGCTCTAAAGCCAACCAAGTGGTGCCAATCCTTTCTCACTCTGCGTCACCAATCTAACTTTATGACCCCATGTCCTCCAAAACCACTTCGTTCTGGTGCGGGAGGAGCCGGCATTTGCTTTCCTATGCCAGTCTGCCCAAATGCACTGTCTGAATTGAGCCTTGATGCGGGTTTTCAGCACCTCATCTGGAATCCGCTCCTGTCGGAAGACGCGGCTGTTCCTTTCCTCCCAGATTACCAGTAACAATACTGCTCTAAAGACTTGGGCCAAGTAAACTTCAACCGCCCCTTCCGTATCTGAACTGGCTGGGATTCCGTCCAAGATGTAGTCGTCCGACCATTCCATATTCGAAAGCTTGAGATCAGCCCAATTTCGCCACCAAGACCAAATGCGCTTGGAAAGGGGACAATCCAGCCATAGATGCCGAGTGGTTTCCCACGCCCATTTACACCGAGCACAATTGAGGGGAATGTCCATGCCTCTACCTGCCAGAAAGACTGCTGAAGGAGTTACCAGTAGTATAAATAAGCTTGGTTAACGCCAAGTGGACCCGAGTCGTCCGTTTCTTAGGGCGCTGATCTCCTAAGTATGAAGCGGACGCCGGTCGACTAGGACGGTCTCAACCAAGCGTGAAACCCAACATTGATCCTAGTCCCCTTTACACATCGTCAAAAGGAAATTAAAATAAAATATTTGCATATATTTACATCATAAAGAATCAACCGTTGATCATCTCTGACGAGTAAAACCAACTACTAATGAATTACTTGGGGCTGGTCAGCTCAATGATAATATCTCAAGGTCGTCGCCCTTTAAAAAAAAAAAAAAAAAAAAAAAAAAAAAAAAAAAAAAGCGTTGACCATCTCAGGTCAAACACCACAAAACAATCACACAACCGCCAACAAGAAGTTGACTATTGACGAGAATATAAATGCAGTCGACAAGGTAGTCGGCTGCCTTAGTTTGACTTGATGAGACGCGTTGCCAAAGTCATTCATTTCAGCCTACCGCCAACCTAAGATTATACATGCTCACTCCTATCTCCATACTTTCTCAATCTTATTGGATGATAGGCTGCGTTGCGAATGATTCTTGATCAGGGGCATTGCTTGGGATGTCGCATGCCTCTCCCTCTAGGAAGTGGTCTGGGGTACTCCTCCTCCTCCTCCTCGTCCGAGCACAAGACTCGGATCTCAGAAGTTGGGTCGTCTCCACCGAATCGGCAAGTACCTCCCCGTAGAACGATCCACTATGGGCCAATAACAGGGTCGGCTCCTAAAGCAACGAACCCCCGTCCCATATGCTTCCTAGAGGCAAAAGATGTGTCCACTGCAAATATCTTTCAATTATTCTTATTTCTCTTGGATTCAGGGTTAGCTTAGACGAAAAGAAATCGAAGGAAATAAAGAACGAGAATTTTTTGGACAGGTATAGGTAGATAAGGTCGTTCGGGATAGAACATGTAATCATGGGGAAAAAGGCTAAGTCCATTTGACCTTATCTACTTTATATGAATCAAATTAATTTTATGACATGCATTGAATTAACATTTTTCATAACAACAAGTCCTTATTGACATCCAGGTAGGTGAGCGTAAAGGGAAGACAATCATTTTTCCTTCTCTCAAATAGGCATAATCAATCTCCTTTGCAAGCATGCTTCTACCTACCTGCACAACATGCACAGAAAACAAGTTCAAAAGAAAACAGTACAATCCCAGACTCACGTTACACCTTCCCATTCACATGCATGACTCGCACAACTTTCCCCACCTTTTCTTTTGAACGTTTAAAACAACAGGGTCGAGCAAAGTGTGGGTTCACACAGTTATGAAGGAAAGCCTGAGTCATTCAACCGACCTTGAGTGAAGTTTAGTCCAGCTCACTCAAGAAGACCGGGTAATATGCCAATCAAGTAAAAGATATTCGTCGCCAAAGCCTAAAATATGTGGCTCACAACTCCACAAGTTGTGACATTTCCTCTGAACCACAGTGCGTGTCGTCCACCAAGTGCCCAAGTGAGCAAGAGTTGGGCCCATTGAGAGAAATAAAGTGGAATAACCCTCTGGGAGGGTGCTCCCATGATCCAATCTGATGTCGCCTCAACAACCCGGACAGTCTCAACGCACCCCCGATGCACCGTCACCACCAAGGATACTTCCCAACCAGCTGCAAGTTCACGCCGCCTCCAAGCACCCTGTCCACTTACAACAACCATGCCATCATGCCGGTTCCGATCTAAAAATCAGTCCCACCTAACTTCAAAAAAAAATGGTTCCAGACGGTCCCATGCTACCGCCACATCACTGGATGGTCCCAAACTCAATCCCATTTGCACTGCGCACCGCAAAAAAATAAATAAAGGTGGTCTTGTCTGAAAACGGCATGTGTGGCGAGCCTCTCCCAAAAAATAAAGACATCCTTCCGGCGCATATCGCAAGCACTGCAACTCCAAGAGTCAGTGCCACGTGCACTCACTCCGCGATCTCTTCATGATGCCAGCCTATGCACCACTGTCACACAATCCCAACCGTGTACCAACATCGGCCCAACCTCTGGGCCCCATTAGAATCCATCATAGTAGTGGCACACCACAAAAAATAAAGTGTGGAACTGCCGCTCACCTTGCCGTCAAAACCGGTACCACGCCGCCGTGCCAAAAAACATTAGCAGCAGTTCCCACCGAAGAGTCGCTGCCGCCGTACCAAAATTTTAGCAACGTAACTTCAAAAAAAACATCGCCCTTGTCGTGCCGCCAAACGGTCAGCACCTCCCGTAGGGAGACCTTGATGTCACCACGCCATTAGTTCGGCAACACCCCCCCCTCAAAGTATGACTGTCGCCACCGCTGTAAAAACCCGACAACGCTTCCGTACCACTGTCGTTAAACCCAGTGCCGTCGCCGTGCAAATCCGGCAGCGCTTCTGCGTCACTGCCAAAAAAATCACAGCTGCCGTTGAAAGGCCCGAAACAAATTCGGCAGCGCTCCCGCAGTACATCAAAAAAATTGTCGTCACCGCAAAAACCGCGCAACATCTCCCCAACACCACAACAAAAATAGTTGCCGCCGCCGCGCTGCGCAGACAACAACTTCTCTGCACTTCACCAAATGAAGTGGTGGCTATGGCAGCCTCCACTCCCGCGCTCACTGCAGTCCTCCACTCTACTCCACCTCTCACTCACTGCCTCTCAGCACTTCAGCAACATAATGCTGCTCTCCACTCCACATTCAGTCAGGATGTGGGCAACACCTCAACTGAGTGAGGATGGTGCTGGCCAGCCCTGCTTTTATAGCGGCTGGAGTGGTGGTCAGCCACTTGAGGCTCAACCAAAAAACGGGGCTGAGCCCGACCCTCGATTTGAACTTCGATCGAGAGCTGGGAATCTTGATGTTCCACTAGGAACATCAAGCCCCAAGCTTTGGCAATGCACCCGACCGCCACCCTCGGCCAGGCGCAGCCTCGAAGTATCCGTATACAACCATTTACAGCTGCCTGTTCAAAACGAACAGGCGCAGTCCCATCAGCCCGTAGAACCTTCTAGGGCTGCATCTGTCCCGCGGCTGCGACCACATTCGCGGCTATTACTTTTTCTTCCCCTCCTTTTTTCCTTGTGAGGGGCAGCTCAAACGGCCAGCCCCTCATAGTCATTTCACGGAGCCGAACTAGAGTCAGGCTCAGTAGGGCCTTCTCCCCCTGCTCCCACATGTTATTTGCGCCTGTATCTGGCACACCTCAAGTGCCCTGATTCAGGCGCTGAATAGCAGACTGCTGCCTGTTGCCAAATGAACGGGCGCAGCCTTTGATGCTGGTGCCTATAAGTGAGGGGAATAAAAGAAATAAAATCTAAAAAAAAAACAAAAACAAACAAAAAAACTTAAAACTTATCTATAAAAAAAAACTGCTGCCCGATGTCACAGGCGCCTATCATAATACATGGGGACTGCAAGTCCCCATCAGTCCTCATGGTACCTCTCACGAGTGAGCCCGTACCTAGGCGCCTTCCGCGACAGGTACGTGTACTTCAAAAGCTCGTTGCCCGTTCAATAACAGAGGTCATCGTCAGGTAGGACCCCCCCCCCCCCCCCCCCCCCCCCCCCCCCCCCCCC